GCTTTGGCACGCTATACCACAATGCCTCACGGTTTTGTTTTCCCCGCTATACCACAAGGGAAACCGGTCATGCTAGGATGAGGTATCCACACCCTTATAAGGAGTGCTTAGTTCTCCTCACCAACCGATGTGGGACGGGATGTTACAAAAAGCATACATAATAGTGTAATTGTCTAATGTATATATTAATAGAAATTTAACAATCATATTAAATCCAAGAAATAAAAAGATATCGGGTTGGGTTGAATTCAAACAATAGTAACCCAATATCAACCCAATACCTACGGTTTGACAATTTTACAACTCGATTAGACATCGAGTTGCTTCGGGTTGGGCTATTTCGCATTGGGTCGGGTTGGTCGGGTTTTTGAGCACCCCTAGCAGTAATTATTATTTGCTTCTGTATTTTCGTTATATGGCAGTATTTATTATTTGCTTTTGAGTCTGGCATATAATTTATTAAAGGAGACCACAATTCACTCCCTGGTTTCTTAACAAGAGATTTTTTGCACGAAACCAACGGCGGAGCAATTATCAATGACTAACGGGTCTTTAGAAATTAATAATCACCCTAAAACGCTACAATAGAGTGGCTTACAACTTACAAGAATCATTTTTATGTGGATGCCGATATAATTTTTATTATATCTTTTTAAATTAATTTAAAATACAATAATTAAAATTTCACAGAAAATCAAAGTAAGAACCGAGGTTCTTGGGCCTCTGGCACTATTAAGTCCGACATGTGTACCTTTGCGATTTGAAAATCATCCTCTAAACCCTTGATCCCTAGCGTTTCTATTCCCACGTGGGTTGAAGGTCTTCATAACTATATTAACTAACACGGATGGAACGTACAGTAATAATCAGGATTCAGAAGCAGAAATGGATGGAGTGTGAAGTAATAATCGGGCTTCAAAGTGAGGAGATGGTTGAGTAGTTTAAGTTCAGTAGGAGAGAGAGAAGTAGAACAAGTGGTGATAGAGGCGACAGTGGGATCAAAATCAGCATCACGACCATCAAAGAGTGAGTGGTAAATTCTTCATCTGTAAGGATTTTACCAAGAACAATTAAAGAGTCAGCTAGCTGTTTAGTTTTGTTCTAAGATTGAGCCTCCTCCTTTTATAGGGTGTGAATTGGTGTACGGATCTGGATCAGTTTAGCTTGTGATTTAGTACGAAAAGTTTTCCATATCATAGAGTTATGATGTATGATGATGAAAGATTTGGCCAACAAGTGGCTCAGATGGACAAGAGACAAGGATTGATAATAACATCTGATCTTGTTGAAACCATGTACTGAACTCGAGATTTGTTGTTCTGTCTTTGAAGATTTTTTACTGGATTTAAGAATTGAGCCATCAATAAAGTCAGAAAGTTTCTACCCATGAAAGTATGAGAGGATGTGTGCTCTCCAAAGGAGATAATTATCATTTGATAACTTGATTGAGACGAGAAGTGATGTGGACGGTACAAGGTTTAAGATATATTGGGGAGAGAGTGGAAGAAATTGTGCGAGAGGGAGTCTCAAGCCATATTGTTTTTTCTTTTTGTTGATTAACATGGATATCCAACCTGCTATGCGAGCTAACTAATCCCAGGACAACCACCTACTTTGCAGATAGCCTGGAGTCACCGCATTTGAACCTCCGTGACCACAAAGGGGATTTTTATTTATTCTTGGATTTGAACCTGAGACTTCCCGGTACTTTTGATCTTTGGATCCAAGCTCAAACCAATCAGACACTACCCTTGTAGAGCTATAACTGTTTCAAGAAGACTATTTTTTATTTCTTACATGGCTCTACAAGAAAATTTATGGTAGAGCAGATAATGAGAAACAACATCCTAACCTCGTATCTAAGAAAATCCCAGCCTTTAATTTCGTCCGTTACAACATAATTTTAGGTCATGATCGAATGTACAAAAACTCTAAAAATATCAGTGATTTGTAAGATTTCTTAACAACAGTAAAAACTATACTGTTTTGTTTTTAAAAAAACTATCATAAAAAATGTTTTTAATATTAATAATATATAAGGTTTTTTTTGGGTTAAAGGATGTAATTAACCAATTACTAGAAGTTTAATAATTTATTTATTAAAAAAATGCTCAAAACTTTATAATTTAAAATGAAAAGGTTTAATGATTCATTCATTAAAAAATGTTCAGAAACTTAGGGGCCCAAACACTTACCTGGTAAGCGCTTACCGGTGAAATTTAACACTATCATTTGCTTACTGGGTAAGATTTTAGTCCACCAAAACGGTTTCGTATGCAACAATTTACCCGTTTAGCGTTTACCATGATAAGAGTCGTCGCCCTCACTTACCGGGTAAGACTTTTGGTCCTTGTCTCGCTCTTACCGGGTATGATTATTAGTCCTTACCATATTCATGCGCTTACCGTGGTAAGAGTCGTCACTCTCACTTACCGGGCAAGACTCTTGGTCCTTGTCTCGCTCTTACCGGGTAGATTATTGGTCTTTACCATATTCATCCGGTAAGGTAATGTGACTTGGTATTCACTTACCCGAGTAAGCGTTTGGTAAACAACACCTTAATAATTCAAAATGAAAAAGTTTAATAGTTTATGTATTAAAAAAATTCAGGAATTTAATCGCTCAAAATGAAAAAAATTCATTCTTCAAAACATATATACACGTTCAACAATTTATATTTGATTATAGTTTTTACTGAACCAAACGAGTGTATACAATATGAAAGGTTCAGTTATTAGTTTTCATACAAATTTTGGACATAATAATCAAATTATAATTTGAGACATGTATCATAATATGTCGTTACGTTTAAACTTGTTGGATTTTTTTCGTTCGGTACAAAATTCACATTCATATAATCCAACGAATTTTAGTATTTTTTAATCTACTTTCTCGCTCACAAATTTTTACAAGTTGGAAGTCGTTATGAAAACAATATCTCTAATTTTTAAGTAGATGCCCGGTTTACATACATCTCATCCTTCCTACCATAGTTTCAAGTGGGATATACCCAAAGGTGTTAACAATTGAAGCTTTTAACAAGCTAAACAAACTCGATATTATTAATTCTCGAGGTCGAGTCGCTCTCGAACACAAAGTAAACCTCGTTTGACCTAACTAGTCGAGCTCATATACATGGGCGGACCTAGTGTGTCGCCATGGGTGGCACGTGCCACCGTATTATTTCGTCTCCGAAGGGTAAAATTTTTAGGTTTGTTAACAGTGCTACCGTATCGTTTCGGAAGGTGCTACCGTATTTTTT